ACCTGATCTGTGTGTGTGGATGACTGTACCTGACCTGTGTGTGCATGAAAGCAGCCCTTACACAAGGGAAATTAGGGCCTTTCCCAATTCCTGAATTATGAATAAGAAGAATGTTTTTTTTCTGAAAGTTACTTCAGTGTCATTCATTATTCAACAACAATTGATTGTTACAATGGAGCTACTTTATATCTGCCTCACACACTGTACAAACAGCTGTTCTTTGTACAGCTTGAACAAAACACTGCAAACTGCCTGTGCATTAATAATGATTTTAATATATATTCACAGCCTGGGATCTTCTCTTCTTTTTTGCATAAATTGTTTAAAGCACATGAGCTGCTCTTCCACAGCAGAATTTCTTTCCCCGACAAATAAGAGGATTAAGAGAAATAATCATTTTGCTCTCAGCTTCTGCAAGGGAAACGAAATTAGACTTTTTCAGTGCTTCTTCTAAAGCAGCCATGAAGCCAAAACAGAAAATCAGCTGCCAGTATCAGGCATCAGTATGGAGCTGGTCCCCCTTTGCAGCTATAACAGCTGCCAGTCTTCTGGGGAGGCTTTCCACAAGATTTTGGAGTGTGTCTGTGGGAATTTTTGCTCATTGATCCAGAAGAGCATTTGTGAGGTCAGGCGCTGATGTTGGACGTGAAGACCAGGCTCACAATCTCCATGCTAGTTCATCCCAAAGGTATTTGATGGAGTTGAGGTTAGTGCTCTGTGTGGAACAGTCAAGCTCTTCCATGCTAAATGCACCCAACCATGTCTTTATGGACATTGCTTTGTACACTGGGACACAGTCATGCTGGAACAGAAAAAGACCTTCCCCATACTGTTCCCACAAAGCTAGAAGCATAGACTTGTTCAAAATGTCCTGGTATGCCGAAGCATTAAGAGTTCCCTTCACTGGACAGACAAACAGAAAGACAGACATAGACAAACATAGACAGAGACAATCAGACAGAGACAAACACAGGCAAAGACAGTCAGACAGAGACAAACACAGGCAAAGACAGTCAGACAGAGAGACAGACAGACAGACAAACACAGACAGAGAAAGACACAGATAGACAAAGACAAATACAAGCAGACAGACAGAGACAAACACAGACAGAGACAGACCGACAGAGACAAACACAGACAGAGACAGACAGACAGACAGAGACAAACACAGACAGAGACAGACAGACAGACAGACAGAGACAAACACAGACAGAGACAGAATTCTCTTCAGAACACAAGATGCTGAGCCACCCAGCCCCGGGTTTTTGGCATTCCGACGCTGGCATGTCTCAGGGATGCTGCCTCTCCATGGTTCTTCAGCATCTCCCACATGGGGAGGATGGACCCTGGCCATTAACTGCCAGACAGATACAAGCAATCCCGTGAATCAGTGCCCTTTAGCGAGTAAACTATGAGTAAAGGGAGACCCACACCCCATTCACGCACTGTCAGGGTCACAGGCTGACCAACATCTTCAGGGCAGTGACACTGACCTGAGTCACCTGCCTGCCAACAGCTATCCTTTAAATCAACTTGCATCCTTACCGCTCAAATTATTGCAGTTCCCCCCCATGGGTTAATTTATAGCTGAATGTCTACTGTGATACTTCAGGCTATCATTGATTCACAACGAGGCTACTAACAAAGTTCAAACAGAGGTGGAGACAATGAGCAGAGATTTAAGAGACTGTAATCACGGAGTGTTTGGGTCCGTCACTAAAATGAGAACATTGCCCCCTACTGTCTGCACAGTACCATCACACCTCAAATTGAGCGTAATCTCTTGTCATTAAAGTCAATACAATACACTATATTTTAGACTATCACTTGCCAAACATAGCTGTCAAGTCTCCCGTTTTGGCCGGGAAACTACCGTATTTTACCCCTCTTTCCCGCCGTCCTCCCGTATTAGTATTTTCCTGTAAATCTCCCGTATTATAATATCATTTTTTTAAAAATCCTCTGCCTCTCCAAACTTAGCTGTCAGTAGCCTCGCGAGAACTGCCACCTGCAGTAGTCTGCAGGTCATTTACAACATTAACCAGGTCATAAATGCGGAGGTTTAAATGGCAATGCTGTGTGCGAAGAACAACGTTACTTTCACCTTCTGTGACGACTTCAACAAGGATCCAAAGTCTGCAACAAATCTGCATAATAAGTCATTAGTGAATGCCAGAGAGCCACATGAGTGAACATGAGAAATTAAAAGAAAATGTGTAATGAAAAAATAAAATGTAAATGACAAGTGGTTATTTTAGATTTCTTGTACACCTGTCTTAAAATGTAAGGGATACTGGAGCTTGGTTGGGGTGGTGGGGCGGCTCGCGGTGGGTGCCGGAAAATTTCCCTTATTTTCAAATCCAAAACTTGACAGGTATGTTGCCAAATGGTGATGATTATAATTTTAAATTGATTATTACGTAAAACAAATTCAAGGGAAGATGGCGGGTAAAGCGATGGAAATGCAAATACGTTAAAATCAAGTTATTTTTATTAACCCTAAAAAGTCTTCCGTGTCCGGCACTTCTGATGAGGACCGTAATCAAATATCAGTGACGACTAGTGCCATCGGTCACTGTAGCCAATATTAACATACAAAAAACAATATTATAATAGGCCTAAACGGTCGTTAATATCAAAAGTTTTTTTTCATCAGTATAATTGGACAGTTTGGCGAGCTGCGCCACATACTGTAGCCCACCTGTTGGCATATAATCACACACAGGAAAAGGCACTGATATAAACGGTATGTTTGCTTAAAGCGCTCCTTCGATACGCTATCCCCGACCGATCTGTTTCTGGTCAAGTAGGCTACATAAGTTATTCCTATTTAGGCAAACTAATTGACTTCTTCCAAAATTAAGCGCGCACCTAAACAAAGTAAACATTAATTTAAGATCTTAGGTGCACACGTTGCAGCGTAATCATAAATTAGATGATCCCTGTAAAAGTGAATGCAAGAAGACCGAGAACACACATGGACGCGACATTAGACGCATTAAATATAAACGATGCGAGGTTATGTAATGTAGACAGATAAAAGAAACGAGCTTGTTTGTCCGATGTCGGTGGGACACAGAAGAAACTGTGATTATTGTGTGTGAATTAGCACAGATGTTGCATCTGGATTTAAGTTAGCTGAAGGCATCCCGAAAGCGGGACGTTGGAGCTGAGAACATCTTTTCGGTAATTTTTAAAACTAATTTTCATCCAGAATAGCGGAAATGTTTAATTGTGACACCCAGTACTGCTGTACGAAATCATTCTAACAATTTGCCTATCGATTTTACACCCGGAACGGATTACTTCTTATAATCTGAAATGCAAACCTACATTAATACTGACAATAGGCTACGTTTGCTTTGCAAAATAGAAAATCCAGTAAATCGAAGTACGGAAAAATATGAAAATTTATTTCAATGCACTGTACTTGAAACCAAAGTACATCACATACATTACAGTCGTATATGTTATCATTTCATTTTTATGATTTACGGCACGCTCAACAGTTAATTTAGAACGATGAACAGAAAATGTATGTAACGCTCTTTTAGAAAGGGCGGCTTGTCGCGTCTCTCTGTAGTACCAGCGAACACCCACCTTTATGAATAGAGACCGCACAGGGGGGTAGTAACCACACCAATTCAAACGTTAAACTTCTCGGGTACAAAGTCCTTCACCCCATCCTCAATTCTGCCCATCAGCAGCATCCCGTAAGCACAATTCTGACACAAACATCCACCTGCACAACCTCCAACCCCCCCACAAAGAGCATCACTCACAGAGGTGGCCGTGGGGGTCAGCTCCACATGCCTGAAGGCACTCTCCGCACTGTCATTCCAGGCTGGGCCGGTCGGCTGCGTCCCACCGCTAGGGCAGCTGGGGTCCAGGGGGGAGCAGTGGACGCCCCCTCGGAGGGGCGGCAGGGTATTCATGCCCCCCAGATATGGGGGGAAAAAACAAGGAAGACAAAAGCAGAGAGGGGCTGTGTTCTGCCTCAGGCCCCCAGCATCAGCTCAGGCGGCAGAGGAGCGGGAGGGTGGGGTCTTGCTGTCAGAGCACGTCTGTGTCAGAGCACGTCTGTGTCAGCGCACGGGTCCCCCACCAATCCCAGGCCTCCCAGTACGCCCTGTCCCTCCAGTGTGGCCATTCGGGGACATTTATACCCCCAACCCGCACATGCTCCGTCCTGCTTTCTCTCCTCCTCTCTCTCTATCTTTCTGTCTCTCCCCTTCAACCTATTCAGGTGGAGCTTTCACAGTCTGAAGTGATGTAGCAGTGAAAACTCGCCGTTCACAGTGACTGCCTACTTCTGAGTGTGATATGGACAGGCAGGTCTTGTGCCAAAGTCATGTGACTGGAATTATTCTAAAAACATTGTATTTTCTAGATCCTGTTCCCTTGTAACAATCCCCTCACTTATCTAGTTAATAATCTACTTTTTTCTGGCTATCATGGGTTTGTAATCTGGCAATTTTTGGTTAAAGTCACAAAAATAATAACAGACACTACATCCAGATGAAAAAATGAGCATGTGACCTGTTTCCAAAACAATAATTTGCATAATCAGAACTTGTCTTGCTTGTTTGGGTAATTGGGGGTGGTGCGGCAGCCGTACAATTAGGTAAACTCGGCGTTGAGTGAAGGATCCTTTGATGTTGCTACTGAAAGCTCATTAAAAGCTGTCAATTGGAAAACCTGACAAAGAAAGCATATAAACTTTCACAGTTATATAGGAAAGTAAGCAAAGGGTGTTCAAGAGAACAAAATCCTGGGGCAAAATAAGAATGTAGGGCAGGGAGCAAAGAGCAGATTTATCAGCAAAAAGAGGCCTTTGTTTGACTGTAAGCAACAGTGAAAGCAGCCAGAGAAAGATTTACTCTGTTATTCACTTCCTACTGGAAAAGCAGGTGATTTGCTGAAAGCATGACTCTGAGAAAAGTGTATTCTCAGCTTCCAACATATGTGTGTGCTATTGTTTGGTGTCCCTGTCATGAGATTGACTACCTAACCAGACCCACTATAGTCGGGGTCAGGGGTCGTCTGGATTGGCGTCCACGTGACCAGCAGCGCACATTTCACAGGCAATCAATGTGGTTGACTAATGTCCTGTTGTCTTCATTAACACACCGTTGTGGTTGGGCTGGGATGTTTAATCATGAGGAAATTAGTGCCAATAGACAGTATCCCGCTGGTCTCAATGGCTCTTATTCTCCTCTTAAAGTGCAGTATTCACCGGTTTTCCATCTTTAAATTAAGAACAATTTCAGTTACAGTAACCATCAGAATGCAGGTAGGCCAAATCCCTGTTACAGTAACCATCAGAATGCAGGTAGGCCAAATCCCTGTTACAGTAACCATCAGAATGCAGGTAGGCCAAATCCCTGTTACAGTAACTATCAGAATGCAGGTAGGCCAAATCCCTGTTAGAGTAACCATCAGAATGCAGGTAGGCCAAATCCATGTACAGAGAAGCTTTACAAGGCTCCGATTTGAGCGTGTCGCCCTGTGTGTGTATGGGCTGCAGCCTCCGCTCCGTATTCTGCAGAATTTCTGGTCTTTGGGATGGGGGGAGAAGGCAGCCTGATCACGTCAGCCTGCCCACTTAACGTTTGTTGGCAGGTCTTCATGAAGGACGCCCAAGGGCCACCTTCCTCCAGCCCTCCCCACACCTAGACCTCCTGTGCATCCGATAATGACTCCTAAACCTTTACCCAGGTAAATAACATTCCGCAGAAAGACTGTACTTAATACCAACCAGGTTTAGGGAACTACATTTCCCAGCATGCAATATGCCTACATCCTGACTGCCTTCGGTATAACAGGTGTATTTTATCTGACTAATGAGCTAGTAGGAAGTTACATTGCGAAGATACATATAATAATAATAATAATAATAATAATAATAATAATAATAATTGATACTTTTATTGATCCCAATGGGAAAATTGACTTTTTTTAATGCCTCCCTCAACTTGCTCTTTGTGGAGTAAGCTGTCTGTGAAGGGCAGCCAGCTGTTGGGGCACCCAGGGAGCTGGGGGTTAAGAGCCTTGCTCAAGGACCCGCAGACGTGCTGAGGCTGAAACCTTCTGATTACAGGCACGCCCACTGAGCCACACGTTGCCCTATATATATGTCTACCTACCTGGTCCTATGTCTGGTTGCAAGATTGTTCGTTTATGTTACCTTCAAGCAGACCATGTATATTCTAGCTTCTTTGTTTTGACTGTTATGTTGTTTGGACTTTGATTTTGTCTGATGATTTGGATTGTTCGCCATGCCTGGTTTGACTGAAATGGTGCTTGATCCCGATTACAGTTTTTGTTTTGTTCCTTTTGCTTCATTGCCTCTTGGACCCTGAATATTTGCTTTTTGCATAACTTGTGTGGTGTAACAAACCAACTCCACCATGCAGTCCTCTCCCTTCTACGCGTGACAGTACTGTCTGAGATAAGTACCAGCTTTTTATTTCGATGGGATGAACCCTACAGGCCTCTCCGATATGGCATAACAAACCGATTTCCATACAGAGTCAGTGCTGATGGAGCAAGCACGTGATCCATAGACCTGTGGGAAGAAATGCCTGGTGTGTCATTGCAGGAAGGCGAACATCACTGCAGGAAGGAGAACATCACTGCAGGAAGGCGAACATCACTGCAAGAAGGCAAACATCACTGCAGGAAGGTGAACATCACTGCAGGAAGGCGAACGTCACTGCAGGAAGGCAAACATCACTGCAGGAAGGTGAACATCACTGCAGGAAGGCGAACATCACTGCAGGAAGGCAAACATTACTGCAGGAAGGTGAACATCACAGCAGGAAGGCGAACATCACTGCATTCAAAGCCTTTGCTAGCTGATAAAAATAACCCTACTGATTGACACCTTGACTACCTACCCCACCTGCCACCTTATTTTACTAGAATAAACTGATCAAGGATGAAACATTCAGCTTCAAGCATGACGTGGGACCAGCAGCATTCAGCGGCTCTGATATTCTGTCCTGTGAGCTGCTTCAGTCGGTCATCTCGGGACTCCTGTCCTGCCCAGTCAACAAGCTCATCCTCATACCCCAGTCCGTGGACTCTGCCCTTTGGCTGGGATTATATCGGCTCTCACTGTACCCTGGCCTTCATGACTCTACTGATATAAGACTTTATTATTATATCGATATTGTTCATTTTCTCGCTGCGCTTTATCTTCCCATCGTCATTTCGAATCACGCTCCCATGTTTTGCGAAGCACCATAAAGCTGCTCTGACAAATCGGTGAAAAATGAATAAATTTATATTAATGAAAAAACCTAAGGGGTCACATGTGACCCCCCCCCCCACTTGAAAGCAGCAGGGAAATCTGGAGATTTCTATGTCTCTGTGGTTTTTCCCTGTCCGGTTATTCTGAGTGTTGGTCATTGACGTGACTCAGTCAATCAACGTGCTCATTATAAGCCGAATGCTGTGTCCTGCCCTGACTCCATGAAGTCAGACACACGGGGGACGGGGGACGGAGCAAGAAATGTCACGTCCGCCATGATTAAGGGCTCCCAGGAAACACAAAAGTGAGGAAGGAAAAAAAAAAAGGTTATAGAGGATTCTGTGTGCTCAGGCCATCACAGGCTCATTCAGCTGACCAGCAGGCAGGAGGGACAGACGTGTTAAGAAAGATTCAGCATTACAGTGTTTTGGTCTCAACGTTGTTGTGCTGTGGTGACCCCTCCCCGCCCGCATCAAAAACACTTGTGCCGAAACCACCGGCCAGTTCATTTCTGTTTCTCTGGACTCACAGAACATTATCCACCTCAGCAGTAAGCTGCTTCACCTCTAGGTGTGCAGTGGAGAAAATCGAGGGTGTTAGCAGTGTTATCATGGAGAGGAATAAGCTCACGCCAAACTCACATACCAGCAGACGTGGCCTTGAAGAGCCAGGCATGTGACACATGGATCACAGACTCGTACCCAGAAATCACAGGCCCTCTCGCTTCTGATGGACAACAAGCGACTTTTCAACCTTTCCTGAGTTTTCTGGAATGATAACAAAGCAGAGCTCCGGACCCCCTGTGACGAATCCAAGATCACATACCTAAGGACTATGGACTGGGGGGTGGCTTTAATAGGCTCTGACCGGGGGGGGGAGGATCCCTCTAGAGTGTCACAGGAATAATGCTGGGATTTCTTTGATTTATGAAATGTCTCTGCAGACCCCTTGCGAGCGTAATACAGACCCCTGGGGGTGGGCAGACAGCCCCAGGTGGGAAAGCCATGTTCTAAGGGAACAATGACTCTAAAAGACTGGTTTCTGTAAGACGCTGAACTTACTGACATACCCACAGGAGACAGGCGTTTAAAACCATTTGTATGAATTCTGCTGACCAACTGTTTGGATCATCTGAAGGTCCATATAGAGAGAAATCGTATCGGGAAACGAAGGGCCATTGACCTCTGATGGCCTCAGTGATGAGGTGACTAAGCCAGCTTTCACACATGTACTGAGAGAAGCTCTTTAATGGACCCTTCCTGACACCTTCCCTAATCCCACGTACATAAAGCTGGAGGTGACCAGGCAGCTGGAGGTGACCAGGCAGCTGGAGGTGACCAGGCAGCTAGAGGCGACGTCCACGAGGACCTTTCTCTGACATGGGAATCTGGAGCAACGGTGCTTCTGCTCCAGGGGATCTGGGTACATGGATCCAAAGTAGCCCAAGTCCACTGGGAAAGAGGGATAAAGACTGTGGCAGGAAAAACAGGATCTCACCTACATCTGGCTTCTCAGATGTCGTCCAATGAGAATCGAGTCTAGCATGGTGCACAGTGTAAGTGCATAAAGACCAGGGGTGGCCAATCTTATCCGCAAAGGGCCAGTCTGTATGCAG